CAAAAGGTGATGGCCACAACCCACCCCACTCCCACCCGCCAGGGAAGTAACAGTGACTAAAGGAAGTGGTCATTAAATTGAGCAAGAGCTTCAATGTACATTTGCAACTGTCTGTGCATTGAGAATTGGTGCAGTGACTGAAATTGTGTGTTACAAAAAACTGTGTTTCACAAACAGAAGCACTAACCACATTACACTTGGATCTAATTTACATCTCTGTTATTTTATTCCTGTTACATTCAATTGAAATGCACTGCAATGTTACATAATTCTCGGCTGAAGACTTTCTTTTCGACTGCGTCTTTGGTCACCTTCCTCCCCCCTCCCCCTGGCTCGGCCCCAGGATCCGTTACTGTAAAGCGCTCTGAGACGCTGTCCGGCATGGAGGGCGCTATATAAATCCAAGTTGTTGTTGTAATTACCGAGAAGTAGATTTCTATCGTTATTTAATTGCTTGGGCATAGGACTGGAGGTTCTACGTCCACCTGAGCAAGCAGATGGTATATCGGTTTAACGTCCCATCCAAAGGACGTCTCCTCTGACAATGAAGCGTACCGCCATTCTAGAAAATGAGCTCAAAGTCTTGGCATAGGCTTGAATTCACCATATTTTCACGCAGAACTTACAGAAAGTCTGTTACTGACTAAGCCAGGCTGAAATTCCACAAGCTCAACTGCAGAGGAGAAGGATTCCACGTGTGGGACGCCTTTTTACAAAAGGTAATGGCAACAACCCACCACACCCAACTCCCGGACACCCCCCACCCCAGTGCATTGAGATCAAGTGCTTCGAGCATTCTATTACCATGTTACAGCTTTGTGTTTTAGTACCACAACATAACCCATAACCGTGTAAAACCCCAATCTGACACTTTGTGCTGGAACACATAAATCACCAACTGGCGTGCAAGAACTCTCTATTGACCTTTCGGAGAAGGCTGAGGTTGTTAACACAAAAAGGGAGTTTCAAAACGATTAAACATTAAATGTTAGTTTTGACCTTGAGGCAAAATGATAGATGCATTATACTGCACTGTATGTTTTTAAAATACCATAAATACTTAAAAATATTTTTATTTAAAAAAAAAAGCATAAATACTGAGTGAGTGTTAGTCTGCTGCCATGACATCTATCCACACCTTCATCATGTTCATGTTTGATTATTCCGATGTCCTGCTTACTGAGCTGGACTCTCAGCTCCTCAGCTCGTGTCCTTTTCTGCACCACACTCTGTGAGCCTCCCTCCACAGCCTCTCTCCATCCTACCTCTGCGACCTCCTGCAACCCAGTTGCAACCCTGCACCCTACATTGCTATTCTGCCCCGACTCCGTTATTCCATTCTTCAAGATTTCCTCTCCTTCATTCCCTCCCTGCCTTTAAAGATCTAACTTTTCAACCGCATTTTCAGGGCATCTTGCTCCCCTCCCACCCCCCAACTAGCTCTCCTCTCCCCTCCTTCCTAAATTTGCTCCCTATCCCCCAGCTCGAGCGATGTACTTTGAGACATCTTCCCGCTGTGAAAAACAGCGTCTAAATATAAATTGTTGTTGAGAATCTGTAATTGCTATATGAGGTTTGGGAATAGCTTTGAAATACACCAGTCATTACTAGTTAACAAAATTGATATTTGTTGGTGTTATTTTGTATGTGTGGGTTGGTACTTTGCCTAATAAGCACAATAATTCACCACAAAATGGGCACATTGTGACACGTGCATGTGACAGTGATGTAATGGTGACGTTACAATCTGATCGTACACTAAGTTACGGTCTACAGTAACTTGGCTTACCTTAGAAAGTTCAGCATTATCAACATTTAATCATAATTTATCCGCAATTATACAACAAACAGCCAAACACACTGTTGGGGGCTCAATGATATTTATCTCCCAGGCACTTTTCTGTGTTATTCTGGCCATGACCTGTTCCACCCTCCCTGTTTTGACAAAAACTGATATTGCTCGCTTGGTGAATGTTGAGCAAGACTCCAGCACTGTAACCTGTTCACTGGGAGCTTGACACTTCGGCCTCTCAAAAGATATTCTGTTTTTATGATTTTATCGCATTGTTCAATTCAGATGAATGCATTTCCTCTTTCTCGCTTTAATCCTTGAGTGGGTTTAACACCGAGAGCATTTGGCAGCAATTTTGTGTGAAGTGTATATTTCTTGTTTCAATGTGTGAATATTGGCAAAATAAGCGCTTGTTGAAAAAGAATACGATCTGACAACACTGAGTTGTCGAAGTGGATTATGTAACATATATGCGTGACTGTAAAATCATCAAAGCGGGATTGCTATTGTATTCCCAGAATTATTTTAATCACAAAGGCTATGTGCAACTTTAAATTGGAGATTCAAAATTTAAGATAATTCAACTTTATTTGAATCCTGTAAATTCACCGAAATACCAAAATAGCGTGTCAATCTTTAATGATAACTACAGGATACACAAAATGTGTACAAAATTTAATTGACTAAAAACACTTGTTTGGCTAACTTTCATCCTGGAGAGAAGTTCTCATTTCTATAGTTACATTGTCATATTGATACCTGTGCAGTTGAGGGTTAAATGCATATATTAAAGTGGGAGTGCCCTAGATTTAACCCACGGTGTATTCTGTAAAGCGCTTTGAGACGCGTGGAAGGCGTGATAAGGCGCTGTACCAAATACACGGATTATTATTATTTTTTGTTCAGAATTCTGTTCAATACACATTGATCCAAATTTGCTTCTTTATTATCATCCCTAGAAAGCTGCAGTATCTGATGCTGCAACAGAACCAACTAAAATATCCCATTTTAAACAAGTACGGAATAGATTGTGATTTTCAATAGTAGATGACTACTATGGAAGGTTACACAGTCCCCATGTGTATCTGGCAAGATAGTAACTTCTTTCGTGGGTGGACACCACCAAGAACGCCCACGACTTCCCTTGTGGAGTCGTGTAGCTTCATGGTTAGAGCACTCGTCTCGCAAACGAGAGCCCTGGGTTCAATTTCCAGCAGGGCTAAACCTTGGGCAAGTTTCCTTACTCCACACGCCTGATAATAATCCCTCAAAAAAAACAATAATGAATTGGTCACTTCAATCCACAACCGTTTGTGGGACACTGCTGTGCGCAATTGGCTGCTGTGTTTCGCCCACAAAATATACAGTCAATTCACTTTACAGTGTATCCTGTGAAGCGTTTGGAGACATTTAGAAGACATGAAAAGCGCTATATCCAATGCAAGGATTATTATTATATAAGTTCATATGAAAACAAAATGTGTTTAAGCTTCTGAAAGCCAGTCTCCAGTCATTGGCAACACTCCGACTGACGGGGCAAACAAAATTGTGCAAAATTGAATCAACATCGATAGATAATAATGGTGAGTGATCCAGACTGAATATTACAGATCAGTAAATGAATTAAGCAGACTGAGTGCTTAAACATAGACTGGTCCTATCTTAGAAACATAGACATTTTCAACACAGAAGAAGGCCTACAGTATTAGCTCGTCAAGCTTTTGAAGAACTGCTTGATGTTCATAAACATTATAGTAGTAACTTATCTAAATCATGCAGTTTGTGGACTCAAGTTTGGATTTCTATTCTGAATCCTTGAACACAACATTTTTTGAACACTACATTCATCAGGACTTGTGGGTGATAATTATAATACTAATAATCCTTGCATTTGATGCGCTTCACATAATATCCTGTAAAGTGAATTGACTGTATATTTGTGGGCGAAATGCAGCAGTCAATTAATAATAATAATAATCCTTGCATTTGATATAGCGCTTTTTACGTCGGGAGGATGTCCCAAAGCGCTTCACAGAACACACTGTAAAGTGAATTGACTGTATATTTGCGCACAGAAGAGTCCCACAGACCATCCTGGATTGAAATAACCAGTTTATTCTTGTTTTTTTTGTTGAGGGATTATTATCAGGCGTGTGGAGTAAGGAAACTTGTTCAAGGTTTCGCCTTGCCGGGAATCGAACTCAGGTTTCTTGCTTGTGTGGCGAGCGCTCTAACCACTGAGCTACAGTACTCCACAATGAGCTCAATAGGCTTCTCTTTTACCCGTTGAGAACAGAGGAAAATGACAACATTAGCAGAATTAACTTAAGATATTCTTTCATATCACACAAAGTATTTTAGGTACTTTGAACCCTTTGTAGATGTCTGGTTACAAAAACAATCCATTTGCTTTCTCTCTCCCACGCATGAACACCACAGTCACGCATACCATACTCACACGCACATGTTATTGCTAACCTTGTTTCTATATTTGTTGGGGCACGCACATTCAAACCCTTGAGAAATCTGATCAAACAATTGAGCCGAGACACTGAGCACAAGTAGAGAAAATGAATATTTTCCCACGGCGAATTACTGTATGGAACAGGGATGAGGGCTACACTGCTGTGTTGTTTGATAATGTTTCCTAAATATCTGTCACTCTTGTTTTAAGTTCCTCATTTGATTCTGTATTTCTGACCTTATGAAGTCTGTTCCACATTCTCGTAACCCTTTGTTTTTAATGCGATTTTGCATTATAGTCGTGCATTACCATATGTGACTTGAGATGCCCTCCTGACATGAAAGGCATTATATAAATGCAATTTGTTGTTGTTGTGACTGCGTGTAATGCTGAATGGAATTTTTACCTATAGGTTGGCTTAGAATTTCATTAAAATTTACTTTTTAAAGTATATCAGTCTGCGGCTGATGCTATTTCCATTTTCTCAGTAGCAGAACCCAAATAAATATTGATCTAGTTGCAGTGTTACTGAGGGAAATGGAAAGACTAACGATGGAGTTAATAATAATAATAATAATCCTTACTTTTGGAATTCAATAATACAGAACAATATAATCAAATGTATGTGTATACAGCTAAATATCTGGTTACATACTATATATTACTGATTGTCAATATTTTTGCTCATCGAAGAATTGAACCCAAAACTGAACGACCAAAGGAAATGCAAGCATTTTTCTTTATGGTATTTATTATTATAATAATAGCATTTAATACAGTGGCTTATCATGAGACTTCTACTGTGAAATGTAGGCTAATAATGCAAAGATGAAATCCGTGAAGTAATGTTAGCAGACGTGATCTGGGTCGGATATAAGGGTAAGAAAATGAGTATATATTTGGTCTTGTGGTAGATGAAATTTGAGTCTATTTATTGCTCAGGCTTTGCAACTTATACCTAGATCTTTTCTGCATTTGGTTTCAAGATTGAAGCCAGATTATATAAGGACAGTGTATACAGTGTATTGCAAAATATCCATTAGGTGGTAAAACAGGATTCAGCCAAGGTCAACAGTAATCAGGACAAATGTAATAAATTTACCTTGATCATTGTTGGAAGTCCAGAAACTTGGTGGAGATGCAAAAATCTAATGTAACCTCTGTCCAATGAATATGTTTTTGTTGTGTTTATCGGTGTTTGGTGCCAACCTGGAACTTGTTGTGTAATTGTATTGCTTTGTTTGATGTAACAATAAAGCTGCACAAACGACGTGCAATCCTTTTGCTTCACTTAGCACCACTATTCCTTTGTTGACAGAGTCCTGGGGAGAAATAGCCACTGTGAATGCACATTGATTCAAGGGTTCATTTATTCTGATCCATGTCATTTTTTCCAGATGGTTGCTCTAAAAGCCTGTCCTCATCTGATGCAAAAGTTTGCTGTCAATGGAATAATCAGAATGTACTTTTTTAACCAATTCTTGTAGAATATGTGGGTTCAATAAATGGATATTCCTTGGTAGCATTTCCTTCCTTGTTCTTTGGTATTGTTTCATCTGAAAGACACAGAATTGACATAATTTATATTTAAGACAAGTTTTGGACAAACTAGGGTAAATTAGCCTTTTGTATAGAATCATTCATAGGTCTTAAAGGGCAAAAATGTTGTATGGGTTGGGATACACTTCTTACAATGTTAAATACATCCGTTTGTTAAGCCATTAAAATGTTCGTGGTTACTATTTCAATAACAATTCAAATGTTTGAAAAATATTAAATGTGTTCTCAGATTATCTCATTGCTTTCTATGTATCTTTTTAATCTAATCTAATCTTACATTATTTGCCAAAATTCTTAAATTTTCTGTCACAGAAGATATTCTGACAATCTACCAATGATGTGGATTGATATTGATATTGTTGTCAATCCACTCACTTGTCTAGTGGTTGAACTTACTGGCAGTTTTTCTTCTTTTACAGCAGAAATACATTGTTGAAATCCAAATTATTATTAATAATAAAAACAATGCACCAATGGCAAGAGCAATCCATCGTAACAGCTCACCTAAAATAAATTGCAAAAGTAGCTTAAACTTTTTTATATAACAGATTTACATCACTGACAGTGAAACTGACATGAAAGCCAAATAACTAGTGATGAATAGATTCAATGGAAATCACTACTCAATACAGATGTTGATTGAAAATTGAAATACAAAAAAGTGCAGAAATGGGTGAGCAATTGTAGAGATGGATAAAAATGCTTATTAATATACAATTCGATTTCTTACTAATACCTAGATCGTTTCTCCATGTAGTTTCAACATTGAATGCACATTATATGATCATACATTCCAATGCAGCCTAACATTTGACAGACACAAACCCAATCAATGATCGAAATGTAGAAGTATCTGCAGTGTGATGATTTTTACGCAGCAAATTGATAATTGACATCTGTTATTCTGAGCAGTGAAATGAGACGCAAAAGCAGATCGTCATTTCACTTCTATTCCAAGAGTGTTGATTTTCCATTCTCTCACCTTTGTCCTCGTTCCGTTTACACTTCTCTATTTTCATCAGATCGCTCGTTCTTTTACTGACCGGGTTCTCTGCTATGCACCTGTACTCGTGTTGACAATTTTCTCTCACACTGTCTATTACTAGTACATTCCCATCATACGTGTCATTGACAATTCCGGATAGGTGGCGTTTTTCCCAATAAAATGTGACGTTAGTTCCATTGGAGACAGAGCATCTCAGAGTGATATTCAGAGGCGAACAGTTCACAGCAATCACCACCACAGGCTGGGAAACTAGTTCTGAAACGCACAAAGGTTAGGTGAATGCGCACAACATCACAAGAAGTTTGGATGAATAGTACAGATATCAGGTTAAGCAGGAACAGACTTGGTTACCACCCATCCTTCTCTTCTTCTCCCACCCTCCAACTAAACTTTAGACTCCATTACCACAAAAGCACTTTTGGATGATTTGGATTTCGTTTTACCAACAAAGTTCTTAATATTCATGATAATAAAAATCTGTATGGGTGTTTATTTTTCTGCTACAATAATATTTTATGTTTAAGCAAAGCATCTAGTTTTTTTAAGGGCTTAAAGCAGACCAAAGAACAATGACTTGGGTACTTTGTTCAAAATTGTTCCATGAATCGTTTGATTTTGTTCTAACGATTTCATGAAATAAACGTGTTTCATCCTAATTAAAAATTTACACATTTGCAACCTTTCATTCTGTATCTTCAATACATGGATTTATGTACATTTTCAATGCTTGCTGTCAGAATTGTTGGGAACTAGACATTTCTGAATAACTCATAATAAATCTACATAAATTAAAATTGCAAAATTATATAGATTTTTATTTTCTTCAAAATACTAATGGAATTGTCAAATAATAATACATAGGACTTACCAATGAGGGTACTTACCAAACACACCCAATTCAAAATCTGTTTTATTGCTTGTTTGTATCTTTGTATCAAGGTAGTCAAATAGAGTTTCATAAACTCCAGAGTCGTTGACCTGCACTTTGTCCAACTGCACAAAGCCGTTCTGATTCAATTTCACTCTTTCTTTATAGAGTGGGTGTATAGAATGTGTTGTCTCTGATATATCCTTTGTCCATGATGCAATTTTAGTATCGAATGGAGTTTTGTAAGAAAATGTAATTTCACTCTGAGCTTCAAGCTGGCCATTTACAGGGAACCAGACTTGGTCTCCAACAGCTACATTAGTGACTGTTCCGAATGAAGCCAATGTCACTGCTCCAGTCACCGTAATCAGATGGAAAACTAAGAAACAAAAATGAATAAAAAATGAATGAATATCAATGGTTACAGTCTCTATCAAATAGTGTTCATATGATGCTATACGTTACCTGGAATGAAAATCCAAGTTTTGATACCAGTCGAGGAACACCTGCTCTTCAGACTACTTGAATTCTTCTTATCGAATGTTTTCATTTCCTTAGCTTTCTATAATCAGTTTTTTGTTCTTGTCCCAACACACAGAGTTATATATGATGCAAACCTGCAAAAGGGAATACAGGCTTTTTGGGGGAGTGACACACGCAGAAAACCATCACCTCGTTCAAGAGTATCCAAAGCAGACCTCAGACTGTGCATTTGAAAACTGACGGAGTTTAACCATCTGAGAAAACTGCATAGCTTCCCATTTGATGCACTGTATGGCAAGTTTCCTTGCTGCTTGTCCAGCTAGGCTTACCCTATTCATCAGGGTTTTGACTTTCAGGGTTAACAGTAGCTGAGTCGGAAGAATCCCTGCCCCCAGTGACACAGTGACACAGGCATTGGTTAACCGGTACCTGATAGATAACACCAGTAAATTATTAAACATCTGCAATGTTACCAGAAACAAATGACTACAAACCACAAACCTTCAACCAATTAACATCTCAGCATATGCAAATAATTATGCTGGGAACCCAAACCACAGAAAATGATGAATATCAAGCTGATTTTTGCAATATTTAAAAAATATTTTTTTCTTCTTTATGCTGGTATTTACTATATGCTTACTGTGATGTGCGACTAAATATGCAATATCAATGGGATCTCATTGTGCTGGAGTCCTATTTCGGAGACCACATGGAAGAGATAGTTTCAAGAGCTGTGTGCTTTGTAGTCGCGCAGTTTAAGTGATAACATTCTCTGAGTCAGAATGTTGTGGGACATTTAACGTTGTTAAAGATCTCATGACATTTTTAAAAATAGAGAAGAAGGTTTCTCACAGTATTCTGCCCAATAATTTTCCAGACAGTGTCATCTATATGAAGTCAAACAGGTCTGGTCTGCCTGGTCAGGTGGACATTAATGATCCCATGACAATTTCCTGGTTAACAATCGCCTATAATTGGTCATTCATGTCATGTGTATTTGTGGAACATTGCTGTGTGCAAATTATCCTGTATGCTTCAAAATATACTAAAATTTGTGAATCACTTAGAGATGCCCGCTCGATGTGAAATACATTGTATCAGACTTAGTATTATTTATCATGAATCCATTTCATGGTTGCTTGTGGGACCTTGCATGCAAATTGACTGTTGTGTAGCCGTCCAAGTACAGAGTCATTATACTTGATAGCAATTATTATGAAGTGCTTTGAGAGACCCTGGTATAATAAGTTCAATACCAATTATTAAGATTGATGTTGATAAACAAGGCAGGTATGGTTTGCACTTGGCTCATGGGCTATCCAGAATTCCAAGGAGCATTCTAAACATTATTAAATAACTTTAATAAGGAGCTTCAAAAATGAACACTCAATTTTGGTGTTTTGCCTAAATGCCATAATAATAATTTATTATTTTTTGCTTGCTTCTTGCTGTCTTTGCTTGCTGTCTCTATCAGGCCCTGTGTTCTTTCTAAAGAGCTGTTTGTCAGGCTGGGTGCAAATTGGTTGCCGCAATTCAATTACAAATACACTGTCACCACATCTGAGGTAATTCCTCTGAAGCATATTGAGACACCTCTTGATATGTAATCAATATTATTCATAAGTCATTTGTATTGGATTCCAAAAGAAATTATCCAGATTCCAGATTCATAGGGCCACTGTACATTTATCTCAATTCACTGACAAAAGTGCAGTTTAGATATTCTCAGGCACTTAGAGGCAATAGTTTTGAAGAACAATGTGATTCACACTTGAGATGTATAAATACACCAGGTGTGAAAACACCAGAATCAGTTTCCGCAGCAACTTGGAACTTTTTAATATTAACAAAAATCTAATCACATCCAAATGTAAAACAAAAATATGTCTAATATGCAATTTGGGTCACTAATTATACAACTCCCGTGCAGTCCTGTAGCTCAGTGGTTAGAACACTGGCCTCTCAAGTGAGAGACCCGGGTTTGATTCCCGGCAGGGCGAAACCTTGGGACAAGTTTCCTTACTCCACACGCCTAATAATAATCCCTCAAGAAAAAAATCAATAATAAATTGGTCACTTCAATCCACGACTGTATGTGGGACACTGCTGTGCACAATTGGCTGCCGCATTTTGCCCACTAATATACAGTCAATTCACTTTGCAGTGTATTCTGTGAGGCGCTTTGAGACGTCTAGAACGTGAAAAGCGTTATATCAAATGCAAGGATTATTATTATTATTACAAGGTACCAGACCTTACAGAACAATATTGGATAGAACTTTAAGGCAAAAATGCTGTTATCAAATGCGAGGGTTATTATTATTTACTATTGGTGCTCTGAGGAACGTAAACAAACTATATTTGTATAGCGCCTTTCACGTCAGGAGGATGTCCCAAGGCACTGGTATAATGGTAAGCTGCTAAACTGCTGTAGGTACTGTGTATTTCTGGCGAATGTGGCAGCCAATTTGTGTACGATATGTCCCAAACAGCTAGGAAGTAAATGGAGGGTTTGTTGGCCAGGACTCTGGAGAAAATCCCTTCTCTTTCCAAATAGTTCTATGGGATCTTTAACATGCACCTAAAAAGACAGATGAGACTTTGGTTCAAAGCCTCAAACAAAGGATGGCACCTCTGACATTGCAGCACTCCACCCCAACTTCTATTGAGATGTCATCCTTGACAATTTATAGTGCTGGCAAAACCTGAACCAACACAAAACATTCAGTGGGGAAATTACTAACCTCGATTTGAAAATTTCATACGGAAAAAAAAGCACAATTTCTGAATTTACTGATTTTTTAAAAAATAAGCGAGTAATATATTCAATGCTGATAAGCTATTTTGTAAGCTATTCTAGACGTCTCAAAGTGCTTCACAAGATTAATAATCATCATCAATCTTAACACTTTAAACAACAGTTTGCAACTGACTGCCAGACTTATTTCTCCCCTCGGACATATGTCCATGGATTTTGATTGTCAGTTTATGTACATCGATAAAGAGACACAATGCGCTTTGTTACCTATGACCAATTTACTGAAAAAATACAGCAATACTCTCGTGCTTACCTAGTTTTGAAAGCCAAATTACAATTGCATCTCTGTTGTGTAAAGCATTGAGCAATCCCATTCACGTGTTTACATCACTTGTCTCACAGCTCCAAACAAACTCTTATGTAACAAGAGGATGCAGTGTTCTAAAGTAACAGAGCAAGACTCTTGCTTGGTGTCTTTTTTTCTTGTGTGTGCTTTTTTTGATCACTCGTGTGGCTTTGAATGATTTCCTGCCAGTATTTTGTCAATGATTGACGCTGGCTTTGCGTATCAATTTTTTTTTTCTAGAATCTATCTCAGTGGAGTCCAAGATAGATTCTCGCTGCTCGTTGGTGACATGTTGCATCAAATATTTATCACTGAGTCCTCTGCTTGTTCAGCTAACTTGCTCTTTAACTGCTGAAGTCAGGAAGTCGACAACGCCACATAAAATTTTAACAAACCTCAGAATGAGGAGCCCATTATTTAGGATGTTTTAGTAAATTTTACTGTAGGGGTGGTTAGCTGATAGTGTTATTGATCCAACTGCACTTAGTCAGTTCAATATTAAAGAGAAGGCTCGAATCTGTCACAGGAGCAAAGGAAACAGATTGCATTTTACTGCTGTGACAAAAGTCAATCCACTTTGTAGTGTACACCATGAAAAGCTTTGAGATATCTCGGTGATATGAAAGGCGCTATACCAAATGCAAGGAATATTATTAGTATTATTTGCACAATTCTGCAGCAAAATTGTCAATCTTGCCCAACTTTACTCATCGCAAGATAATCTTGTCCATTCAGCAATTCATATGAACAACAACAACAACAAAATTACATTTGTAACTTGCCTTTCACATTGGGAGGATGTCCCAAGGCGCTGAACAGTCGGAGATCAGGACCCAAGCGTAGGGGGGTGGAAGGGGGTGGGGGCAAGGTTGGGATGAGGGAGGGTAGAGAGGTAGGAGGGCGGCTGAAGGCATGGGCAAAAAGGAGGGTCTTGACTCATGCCTTGAAGGAGGAAGGAACAAGGCGATCATGTGAAGTCATGATCTTGACCACTGACATGCAGTACAACAGTAACACTCTATGATGTACGTAGTAAAAATGCTGGAATGACAACATTATCAAGGACAACTCTAGCATTGCGCGCGGTTCATGTGAAGGCAGGAGGGACCCAGTATACCTCTTAAAATAGTTGTATTGCTTTGCAGAAACTTTGCATTTGCTAAATGTGTTTGCAAGCTGATTGGTGTGATGCAGCTGTGCATTTCTGCTTGCTTGCTTTCCTGCAATAAAAAAGTTGCTTTTAAGCACTGAAAATTTCACCTCATTTAGTAATCTGACATTTTCTGCCTTACACTATAGACTTCAAGTGATGTATGTAATTTAACTTCAATTTCACTGGACCTTTGATTGGTTAATTTTGTGCATTTAATCTTTCACTGTATCTGAATCCGTTTCATTCATAATAATCAAAACGCAAAAATCCTGCAGAGGTGCTGGAAATCTGAGACAAAAACAGAAGTCGCTGGGAACACTCAGCAGGTCAGGCAGCATCTATGGAGAAAGGAAAGTGAGTCGACGAGTCTCGTGTTCCTAACGACTTCTGTTTTTGTTTCATTCTTAATAATGCTGTATCTCTAGTTCTTAGTAAGTTCAAAGGACTCATTCAAGGTACAGTGTCCTTCGATTCTCCTTCCTTTAGTGCAAATGCTTCCACTCATCTCCCCACAATTTCTGTGGCTGAGATCAGGAACTCACCAAAAGGAGAATCCTGAGCAAGAGCTAATTGTGCACCGCAATATTTTGGAAACAGTGACTTTATGGCAGTGTATGAGCTCTACTGTAACTGTACAGTTTGCACACACTGCGTTTCTGCTGCTGTCACTGGAAAAGCAAACTGGACAAGTGTTTAATTCGCTTTGGTGTTGTCACAGAGCCCCCTTGAGGGAGTTTCAGTGAGTCCTAATCATTTTGTGAAGTGCTGTTTGAAGTGCCTTGCTGTACAGAACCTCAAGGTTTTTCCTCCTACTGGTACATCTATAGCGACTGTTTGTTAATATGCTGTTTGCTTATTTTTCTGACTCGCACATACGTTAATGTCTTTTCTGCTTGAAGCAAACGCGAGAGCTAATTTGTGCACAGCAATATTTTGTAAATGGGTGATGCAGTTGTAGAGAATAAATGGACATGAATAAATGAATTAGTATCGAACTAATATCTGTACTAGGAAAACAATCCCAAAGAGACAAAAGAATTTATATCAACAAGATTTAATGAGAAGACAGCTAGTGCATTCACAATTTCATTTCAAATACAGTACAAACCAAAAACTACTTGGATTTAAGCATTTATGTTTCTCGTGTCATAAAAAGTACAAATTATACAAATGTTTTATAAAATGACAAAATAGAGATGTATAGAAAAATAACTTGATTCAGTGTAACTTGAATCATTCACCTTAAAAAAAATACACAATGTAGATGGCTTAAAATTTTGATCATTTACGTTTGTGGCACCTCACAGAATTATACAGCCCAGAAAGAGGCCATTTGGCCCACCGTGTCTGCTGGTTCTTTGAAAAGACCTATCCAAATCTAGCTCTGATTAAATTCAGTTTGAAAAGAGATCTTGGGTTGTTAAATTGCTTCATTGAATCCCATTGTTGCATCCTCGTCCTGAAGAAACAACATGTAAAGAAGTATGATTAAAAAAAAATAATAATAATAATCCTTGCATTTGATCATTCGATATAGCGCCTGATCACATCTTTGAGACGTCTCAAAGAGCTTCACAGAATATAACTGCAAACTGAATTAACTGTAAATTTTGTGGGCAAAACACTGTAGCCAATTGCGCACAGCAGATTATACAATTTATTTTTCTTTGAAGGGATTATTAGTCCCAGAAATTTTCTTTTGTTTTGTATAGTGAAACTAGGAGAAAAGACTATTCAACTATTTCTTTATCAAGCTAAATGAAGTTGTACATAAACATATCGACTGGCCCTCAGTTGCTAGGCTTTTCACAAACTTGTCTGATCCTATTAAAATGAGTTCTGGCAAATACTCAACAGTACCCAGTTGATATAATACTTTTATGGGGATCAGATGGCTCCAGTGTGGAGTAGTCCAATATGCTGCTTCCATTAAATTAAACACATCACATCACTCCACCTTGAACAGAAAGTTTTAATCTGGGATATTCTTTATCTTTCAGTTTTTTTATATTGTTGACTAGTTTAATTGATTCCAGCATTCGTTTTGAAGCGTAATTTTTGTGACCATTAGATCAGTTTTTTTTATTCTAGTTTTTTTTACATCCTCTCCAAGTTCACTGATATAACCCACTTTCGTTCATAAAGCTGCACAAGTCTGACACCAAATAGGTACTTGAATGAATGAGAAACAAGAAATTAAATCTGTAATTACTAATATCTTCATATTCCCTTCTATGCTTCAGTATAATCTTTTGACAACCTGTTTAACTGATTTGGTAAATATTTATCTAAAACATTTGTTTTATCTATAAAGATTACACAAAGCTATACATTTTTTTACTTTTGACAATAACACTTACTTGATTTACTTTCATGTAGAAAGTAGCCAAATGTGGTTATAGCCAGAATCGCAATCAACAATGAAACGAGAACAAGGACAATCCTATGGCGACTATTATCTGAAATAGATTATAAGGTAAATAAATGCATTTTCTTAACTAAATCATACTCCACTGGCTTCCCATCACACAGGGGATATAGTTCAAGATCCTGGTCCTCACCTTCAAAGCCCTCCATGGCCTCGCTTCCCCCTACCTCTGCGACCTCCTAACCCCCTACCATTCTGCCCGCGCCCTCTGCTCAGCAGGCTCCGGCTTGCTTCACGTCTCCCGCCTCGCCTGCCCCACCAAAGGCGGGCAGGTCTTTGGCTACTCTGCCTCCACCCTCTGGAACTCCATCCTGCAGTCCCTCTGCCTCGCCCCATCCCTTGCCTCCTTCAAGACCCATCTCAAGACCCTCCTCTTTGACCGTGCTTTCGGTCACCCTCCTTCCTTCACCTCCACCTTCCCCAGTCCCAACTGACAGTGCCACTATAATAGAAGTTTGAAAACTACTAAATATTACAGATGAATTATAAAAGACATAAGATCAAGATATTCTTAATAGTTTCATGGTTACTATTAACAGGTTCACAAATTCTGTAGATGTCACCAATGAGTGAATGTGTAAAGGCTGATCTTTGCTGAAGATATATAAATAGAGTTGCTGTTGTACCATAGACTATTTTACCAAAACTCACCTGTGGAATCATTGCCATCAAAGCACCCTGATGACACTGGATTACTGCTTGCATTACTGATTGGGTTCTTTGCAATGCACTTGTAGGTGTCGTGCTCCTTTGCATTAATGCAATCTATGACTAGTTCTGTTGCATATGTGTCATTGATTGATAAGTAGTCCTTTTCCCAGTGGAACATTACATTGCTTCCATTGGAGACAGAGCACCTCAGAGTGATGTTGTCTGCTGTTCCACAGTTACCATGAATGGTCACCACAGGCTGGGAAACTGGTTCTGTAACACATATTGTAATAATAATTATTCCTGCATTTAATATAGTGTCTCGCATCATGACAGATTTTACCAAGTGCCTGTAGCAATCATTAACATTAGTTTTATGTTGGATTTTTGTCATAGTCTACAGAGTGAAAGATAGTACAATACATTACAAATACAAAACAAAATTGCATTTGTAAAGCGCCTTTCATGTCAGGAGGACATCCCAATGCTTACCATACACCTGTAAATTGAAAATGCTTTGATCCCGGTTCTTCAGTACTGCCTCAAAGTAGTTAGTTTGTATTTCATATTCCCCACTGTCAGCAATAAGTAAATTTTTCAACATTACATATCTTTTCAAGTAGATTTCAATCCTGCGTTGATACAGTGGGTGCACAATATAAGGTTTCTCCGAGCTACTGGGTCTCCATCCTAATATCTTGATAGATAATGGAGATCGCCGCCTTATGGTCACTTCATACTGAACGTTGTCGTGGAAGGTTACAGGGAACAGGACATGTTCTCCGACAGGAATGTGTATGACTGTGGTGGGAATGGCCTCCATTGCTATTCCATGCACCACGCACGTTCCAATTACTGGAAAACAAAATTATATTTATCCTCATCAAATATTCGCTCCTCTAAAGTTCAACATAATTCAGATTAAGAACAATAATCATTTATTACCTGAAGCAAGTTTCAAGATATTAACATTCATCTTGTGTGTCGGGTTTTTGGGCGCCTTTTGTATTTTATTCCTGTATCTCGTCTGATCCTAAAAGGGAAAACATTGCACAAAAACTATTGTATGAGACACTGTTGGGTGCAATAGCTGCCACGTTCGGCCACAAAATACAAGACCATAGGAACTTGGGAACAGGAGGAGGCTGTTTAGTACGCTTATTATGTCTTCAAGACGTCTCAAAGTGCTTCACAGATTATACTGTAAAGTGAATTGACTATATTTTGTGGTCAAAACGCGGCAGCCAATTGTGCACAGGAGTGTCCCACAAACAGTCGTGGATTGAGTGACCAAATTATTATTATTGTTTTTGGGGGGCAAATAATCCCTCCAAAATGATTACCCCCCCCCCCCCCTCAGATTTACATAGTGTTGAAATATACTTAATATACTTAAAATACATAAATAGGAAACTATACATGCCTTGTAAGCTCTACAAATATGGGGAAATGGAAATATAGGATTGCTTTTGTCCAGAAAAAAAATCTTTAGAACAATGATTCACTTGTGAGTAAAGTAATTAACGGGTAATTAACATTATGCCATTATAGTACTGAAAACGTATTTATTACGCTCAAACGTGAAATATTCCTGTGTATTATATTTTCAACTGTATATGTACAGATTGAAAAATATGAAAGATTACAAACAAGTTTCAGTTCATTTCAATCTGCCCCTCTCCAAAGCCTCAAACTTTTTTCTAAGCAGCAATTTATCCAGTTGGTTGTTTGAAGGAGAGCTAATGTTTGGACACAACAGAGCGTGAGAAGCAGAGAGAAGATTGTTGGAGCGAAGAGTTTCCTTCTTACAGCGGCAGTTGGGAATGCAGGATATTTCAATGCTCAGCTCTGCTTGAGAAAGGGCAGGGTTTAGTGGTTGCGAAAGAGGGAAATAGAGCGGGAACAATGATTCTTTGTTTTGTACCTGGAATATCAGCGAGAATTGGGCAATTCTTACCTGAATTGGCAGGTGTTATCTACGCAGTGTTACCTGCTGTACACACCTCACAGTCCTGTGTTCTGCAACTTAACAACCATTTACACAGAGAAAATCCCCAAATAACTGCTGGTCGTCAGCCTTTCCAGCCTGATTTTGGCGGGAAATGTTTTTTACAGATAAGGAGTTTGGAAATTTGATCCTATCACAGATCGTTATCACAGGTTTACTTTCACTTTTCACCTTAGCCTTTGTTCCTGGTGTTTCTGTGAAACTGTATTTTCCTTTAACTCCCTCATCTCCACACCAGCTGTAGTTTGAGACCCTGTAAAGCTGCTGCTCTCCTTTTCTCTCTCAGTCAGTACATGGTGCACCCTGGAGAGAGGAAGGGATTATCAGGAATCTTGTTTGGGAACACAGGCTCATGGATCCAGGGTTTGATGCCCACTTTGATTTGTACAGAGAGGGTAACAGTTGCTGCTCAAACCCCACCATTTACTGCTGCTGGAAGCCCACCCAGTGGGTGGTNGGGGGTTGTACTTGGGCGCGGGTTGGCAAGAGCCCGAGGCTTGGGGATCCCAGAATGTGCGTTGGGGTACTGTTGGAGTTTAACCAGCTAAAACTGCATAGGTTGCCATTGATGGCACTGGCTGGCAAGCTCTCCCACTGCTTGTCCAGCTGGGACGGACCTGCCGGTTAGGGCTTTGGTTTGCAGGAATAACAGGAACTGAGTGTAAAGAATCCCATTGACTGGTCTGCCTTTCAAGTCCTGCCGTTGAGCTTGCCTGGCTGTGCTATGACTCTCAGTGCCCTGGAATACTGTGGACCCGTCTGGCTCAGGAGCTATAGACGACCAAGATCACAACAGAGGGTTGGCTCGATTCCGCATTCCATTGCCAAACGTATTAGCGCTTTTAGTGGAATACTTTGGCTGAGATCAGGAACTCACTGAATGGAAAATCATGAGTAAAAACCAGCGATGTTACAGTAGTGTTTGTGAGCTCCACTGTTAGAATTTACACTTTTTGTATAATGTTGGAATCATAATAGATGTTACGAACGGGTTAACTTTCAAGTTAAGTGTGTTGTGGGCAGCTGGACTGAAACTCTCTGCACGTACACGAGATAACGGACTGTCTCAAGGACAGTGTGTTTGTGTGTGTGAGGCACGTACACCCCATGAGGTGTTCACGTGAACCCAGCATGATTTCAACCAGATAATCTAATGTCCGCACCATGATTGGATGAACATTGGTATCAGAGTTCCGATAACTTTGTGTACGGGGCCGTCCCGGGTCGTGGAGCAAAAAGGATACGGGAGATGGGGCCATCCCGGGTCGCGGAGACAAGGGTACGGAGATGGAAGACTGAGTGCTGGAAACACTAAGACTGAGGATATCAGATGGAAGATTGAAAGCTGTAAGCAAGAAGACTGAAAGCATGAAGAATCAAGCTTGTGTGCTGGAAAGACACAGTGTTGAACTCTTGAACTCGAGATATCTATAGTTGTGTTATTCTGTTATAAGATCTGTTGATTGTACGGCCTTTGGTCTGACCCAGCGGGATATTGGGGAATAATGAACGAATAACAATAAAATAGTCAGATATCTGGTTAGAGGAATTAGCGTTGTTTCCTTACAGATTTGGCTGATTTTATTTTCTAACAACTGTAACCGCACACACTACGTTACTGCTGCAGTCACTGGAAAGGCAAACTGGACACCTGTTTAACTCGCTTTCCTGTTGTCACAGAGGCAGCCCCCTTGCATTTTGTTTTGAAGTGTTGTTTGAAGTGTGTTACAGTACAGAAACTGAAGGTTTTTCCTCCTACTGGTACATCTATAGCGACTGTGTATTAATATGCTGTTTGCTTATTTTTCTGACTCGCACATACATTAATCTCTTTTCTGCTTGAAACAAACGCGAGAGCTAATTTGTGCACAGCAATATTTTGTAAATGGATGATGTAGTTGTAGAGAATAAATGGACATGAATAAGTGAATTAGGATCGAACTAATATCTGGACTAGGAAAACAATCCCCAAGAGAGAGAATTTATATCAACAAGATTTAGTGGGTAAACAACAGTTTCTCATGCTGAAATGTGCTGCTCACCATGTGGCTGGCAGGGAACTCCAGGACCTGAATTTTGTGGTTGATACTATACATGAAAGTGAACCCAAAATTGCACAGATCTTGCTCAGGACCAAAGGAAATCTGGTATATAAGGTACAATACTGAGGTCTGTGGAGCAACATGATGCAAATGTGATCCATGTCAGATGGAAAATATTGAAGAAATAGTATTGGTGTTTGGTTTAAGATAATATTTTTCACAGGCTTTGCTACTGAGACCGACAAGTGTTTTGAATGGTGCTTGCATATTAAATGGACATTTAATATTATTAAAATATTATCTTTTTATTAAATATTAAAAGTAAGACATTCAATGCATTCAATACAATACACAATTAAATATGTATAAGATGGTATGTCAAGATGCAGTAAAGATAAACAACAACTAGCATTTATATAGTGCCTATTAGGTGGGGTAGCATCTTGGAACACTTTATGAAACCATAAAGAGGATAATGCATCAAAAATTAATGTTGCCAGTTTGCAGTGATACCAAAGTTTAATGTACCCATAAATATCTGCTCAGTGAACAGTTTCTGTTCTTTTATTAGTGCTTGGTGCGAGACCAGGGCTGGTTGGTAATGGTATTAACTTTCTTTGAAGTCACAAAGCTGCACAAGCAAATGCAAAGCATACTGCAAGTAAGCTTCACTTTGCACTATTGCTATGCTCAGAGTGCCGAGGGGAAAAAATCACTATGAATATTGCAATGACTCATGGGGTATTTGCTTTTGATGATAAGTTCGCTTATTATCAAATAATCAGAATGTTCTTGTTTCAATTCTTGTTGTATATGTGGGTTCAATGAGCTCATGTTCATAAATAGCAGTTTCTTCATTGTTTTCTTGTTTTGCTTCATCTGAAAAAAGTGAAACTAGAATTTCCCTTGTACTTTGGTTAACTGCACATTTATTCATTCTGCCACCACTCTCCCATAGATACCAGTCTTACAATGAAATGTTTTAAAATATTCATGCTTCCCATTTCAATAGCAGTTTGAAAGTGTGAAAATGGTAAATGTCTTCCTGAATAATTACATTGCTTGTGCTTTCTAAGTTTGGCATGATCTTAAACCATTTATTAAATTAAGAAACGTACAAAAAGCAGAGTTTTTTTTATAAATTTTAAATATTGTGACTATGTTATATTTTGTTAACATTTTCAGGAATAATCTTAATGGCATTTTATGAATTTTGTCATATGTGGAATAATGTACATTATCACACCTTATCTTATTTTGTATTAGTTATAGCTTTTAGTTACGCTTTTGTTATAGTTATACTTACTGGTCAATTCATTGCAGGAAGCCTTTCTGCTCGTCTTGAAGCAACAGATGATTAAAATCAAAATTAATAAGAAATTGATGCACCGATGATAGAAAACATCCACAGCTGTATCTGATCTATGAAGTTTAAATAGGAAAATAGACATTTGGAAGTTGTTTACATTTTTTAACATATAAAATTTAGTCCACTGGCAGTGAAAGTGAAACGGCATTCTAAATAAATGTATGATGGATAAATTCAGTGGAAACAATTACTTACACTGTACATTGTACGCATACGTTGGTTGAAAATTAAAAGGGAAGATATGATAAGTGTGGATACGAGGAGAAAAAGAAATGAAGCTGAGTGCCTATCAGCACCTCGGTTTAAGGCTGGAGAGTTAGACAGATGACCTGTCCATGGGATGTGAGCATAATGAATGAAGAAATCTGCGGGTGAACGGAATCAATGCTTTCTATTTGAACAGTGACACTGCTTTTGATTTTACATTTACATTCCCAAGATAGTCGACTCAAGTCTATCACTTCCCATCCTTGTCCGACTTCACTGGCTTCTTACGCCCCAAGAGATCAACTTTTAAGATCCTTGTTCTTTCCTTTTATTGTCTCCAGGTCCTTGCCTCACCCTACCTCTGTGATCTCCTTCAATTTCTACTTTTCCACCCATTCCCTCTACTTCGTCAACTCTAGCCTGCTTCATGGCCCCACCTTATCTGTGCCTCCTTCAGCAAGTGAGATTTCAGTCACTTTACCCCTCCCTCTACAATTCTGTTTTGAAATCCCTTTGCTCTGCTTTCAAAACTGGCTAAAAGCCTATCTCTTTATTGCAATTTCTGCCACCTCCCTTCTCCCCTCCCCCTGTCTGTATTTCCATCCCAGTTCAGGTTTTCACTGCATCTCTGTAAAGAGATATTATCTTCACGTGAAAGAAAAGACTATATGTATTTAATTTGTTATTAATTGTTTTGATGCTATGATTAGTGGAATCTAATAGTGAATACTCTGCAATTGAATATAGTGAAAGTACATGACATGTAAACATTATAACTAGATTTTAAGCATCTTACCTTTGAAATTAAACAGATTACATAATCTTATTTTCACTTCTTCGCTGGTTGCTTTACTGACGGGGTTCTCCACTATACAAACATACACATATTGTTCCTCTTTCATGTTGTGGTCTATCACTAGTATTCTGCCATTGTACATATCTTTGGCAGCTCTGGATAATGATTGTTTTTCCCAGTGAAACACAACACTTGTTTCAATGGGGACAGAGCAGCTCAAAGTAATATTTTGAGTTGAACAGTTGCCATCAGTCACCACAACAGGCTGGGAAACCATTTCTGAAATAAAGATTAGAATTATTAGGTCAATGCTAAAATTTTCAAGTTAATTCTGTGTTACAATATCAAGAGTTGGTGTCACTTTACAGTATATTCTGTGAAGCGCTTTGGGACGTACTCCCGATGTGAAAAGCGCTATATCAAATGCAAGAATTATTATTATTATTAATAACCAGGAATTCTCTGATCTATTCACAGAGATCCTGAGGTCCATCTCTCCTTATCAAAGATCCTCACTAAAAAGTCTACACTACAGGATATATGGTTTGTGTAAATAAGTCAAGAATTATTATTTCCTCAGTCAAAGGAATTTAATGATTTCAAGCGATTCTTCACGGGTAGTTTGTGTCTGAGGCATCTATGTAAACCTCCAGCACTCAGCTCAATGAAGCATTAGTTTAGGACTAGAAACAAGTTTTCTGTTCTGCCCCCACCCAAGGAATTTCTTACCTTCACAACACAAAGTTAACAACAAGTACAACATAATACATTTTCAAACAGAATGTGCAAGTTGAAACTTTTTTTTATTTTCTGAAATATTATTTAGAAATTCGTACTTACCAAACACATGGAGTGCAAAAGATTTCTTATCACTGCCTTTCAATGTTGACATAAAGTGGTTGATTTCGATATTATAATCCCCAGAATCATTCTTCTGAATTGTGCGCAGCATCACAGAACTATTCGAGTCCATTTCCACTCTTTCTTCGTACAATTGATGTATAGACTTTGTCACATCTGAACGTATGAATTCCCACGATGCAATTTTACAAGTGATTGGGGATTCACGTTCAAATATCACTTCATAGTGAGCAGCATTCTGGTGATCAAAAGGGAACAGTACATGTTCTCCAATGGTTACATTATTGACCGTTCCAGGTGTGAGTGTTGTCAGTGATCCAGACGCTGTAATCAGATATAATGCTGGAATGGGAAATAAAAAAGATTTAAATTAAACTTGCTTTATGATTAGAAACAGCCATCAAATTATTTCATAATTCCAAAAGTGGGTTACCTGAAATTAGTGCCATCATTTTCTCAATGTCCAATGAACCCATAATAATAATAATCAATTGTTGTTTCTTTTCTTTCTTTTTGCCGAGTGGTTGATCCTGAAAATATAGAATCTGTAGAAAAATACAGGTAACTGTTGTTACGATATTGTTTTTTGCTTGGTCTTTTACTTTCTCTTATTTGTTCTTTGAGATCATTGAGGCAAAATTACTTATCAGATTTTAATATAAATGGCAGAAATATTACCTGCGTCTGGATTTACTCAACCAACTTAACATTTTAGAGTGTGCAGGATTTGGCACATTGTTGAATTCAGTTTTACCTTTGAAAACCGTTTTCTGTAGTTCTTGAAAGAAAACTTCAAAATGATACACTATTTAAAAAATCGACAACCTGAAATTCTACGTTAATAGAACAAACCTTGACACAGATGGAGATTGTCCCCAAGAAACATAAACCTCAATTAAATTTATGGAGGTTTTATTTAAATTTGTAGAATTTCATAGAAAATTTCCAGATTTCTATTAACTCTTGAAGTTCTACCTGTGGCAATTCAATTTCCTTAACAAAAATAAGTAGAGGAGAATCTACTTTAGTAGATAATGAAAGTTGGGTACTGCTCAGTGGAAGAAGTAGACTTGATAGCTGAATGGCCTTTTCTCATTTTGTTTGCTGTGATCCTTCTGCTGCTGGGCTGATCCTAAGGAAATCTCTCATCTGTTCTTGGCTGGGAGCTTGCATCAGCAGAATTAAAGCACAGAAGCAAATACATTCACTCTGCCTATCTTTTGGATTAAGAACAAGGTATTTTTGACCCAAAAGAGATCCAAAGCCCATGGCAAGAAGCCTGTGGTTGAGACCACGGAGCACTTACATGCTTTGTGAAAGGAAGTCGTGGTGAGCAAAAGTAAACTTAGGGGAAGGGTCTGCATTTTTTTCAAAAGCAAGTTTCTTTCCACAATTATATTTTAATTTAAGGGAAATGAATGATTGAGGACAGAATTTCCAAGAGGGAAAACATTTAGTAAAATTCTCTCCATTGTATCCTGATGTAAGTACCGAAGCTCCATGACTACCATTACAATTAATGGTATCCAAACTTGATCACAATCTCGCATCGTCTCAATAGGAGTTTCCGAATGTACTTTAATCCTCTATATGTCTGTGCGTATTCTCAGAATGCTCAAACTTCTGTGTATTCTTCTGTGTATTCAGATAGTCACCCAACTCCCTTTGAAAGACGTTAGTGTAAATGAAGTACCTTTAATAATAATAATAATCCCTCCAAAACCAAAAACAATAATAAAAAAAATTAGTTATTTTCAATCTAGGACTGTTCGTGGGGACGCTGATGTGCGCAATTGGCTGCCGCGTTCGCCCACAAATATAGTCAATTCACTTTACAGTGTGTTCTGTGAAGCGCTTTGGGACGTCCTCCCGACGTGAAAAGCGCGATATCAAATGCAAGGATTATTATTATTATTATAAAGAGACCCATTTTAGTTATCCCAGTTCACTTGGTCAAATTTAAATGATCCTTGCTGCAGATTGTTTCATTTCAGCTTTACTCTGCAATGCTATTTACAGGGGAAAAAAAATCTGCAATTTAATCTTCACAGCCCACCCACATAATCTGATGCAGTTTGTGAAATTGCCACTCTTGAAAGGATTCACAGCAAATTTTTTGCGGATTTCGACAACTTCGTCGAAACACAAATAGCAACTGGTGGCAGTTCCACAACTCAAAGAAAATTAAAAGGTTAAAATTAAAAGGTTAGATTCAGAATTAAGGGGTTACCTTCCACATGTCCAGTTGCCCACTCCTCACTCTCAATTACGATTACAATTCGACAACACCGACCAAGTCTTGTTAACAACAACAACCACCAAAAAAAAAAAGACCATTTAGATGAGTGTTTTCTCTTGCAAAGGGTCGTGGCCAATAAAACCCCCAACTAAGTAAACACTAACCAACATAGGAATGAACCCCAGAGCCAATTTGCAACGTTGCATTTGCTCGTTTTCTCGTTCGAATACTATTTCCGTTTTACTTTATTGCAGCAAAAATGTTGTTGCTTTTTACCCCCAGTGAAAATCCTCCTGTTTATCACCCACATTACCATCCAATGCAACTGCTGCGAGTTCACCCCCAACTGGAGCTGCGCAGAGCGTTTATTGATTGAGTTACCGTTAATTGATGTGTTCGTGTAATAACTCGCATTGGGTTCAAAGGCGTTTAAATCTGCAGCAGATGACATTAAAACGTACCCCAGCACTTTGCAAAAAATTCCCCACAAATATATGCATGTACATTTAGATACAAAAACGATGAGAGGTCGATACTCGAAAGAGGTGCCAATGAGTTGATAAGAGAATAACAAAAAAAAAACGTATTAAAACATGATTTTAAAGCACATTAAAATAAACGCGTTTCTTATTTGCACAATACTTACCAGTGCAGTCACTTACCTGTAGTCTCAACGTTTAAAGACATTTGCCACAAAATAAACCCTGAAGAAAAATGACTACTTCTATTTATAAATCCCCCCCACCCATCCTCCCTTTATTTCCAATCATTTCTGCTCTAACCGCAATCATGCCTTATATTGTACCTTTTCCAGAATTTCTTTTTGTCTTAGATTGGACTAACCCAACACAAAAAGTTGCTTTGCTAAAACAGGACTAGTTTGTCTGCTTTTCCCATCCTGGAGATGGTTGGGAGGAGGAGGGGGGAGGAGGGAGGGGAGGAGAGGGGTGGGAGATGGGTTTATAAGTGATTTATAACTTTTGCCCAATGTTTGTTCTCTTAAACTTCCCAACACAATATTGTCAAGAGTGCCCAGGGTGTGAGCTGTGAGCTCTGGGGGTGATTCCCACCTGTTTCCTCTCTCCTGCTCAGTGGACACTCCTCACAATTCCTCCCAAGTGCTTCTCTCGCTGTGGCTTTGTGTCTTCACTGAGACTCAGACACTGCCCGGAGTGAAGGGTGCGATGTAAACGCAAGTTGTTGGTGTTCTACAAATGTAATCTTGTTGTTGTAATAATCGCTTTTTTAAAAAAAAAAGATTTGCCCATGAGAACTGCTGTCACTCAGTCTCAGCCTCAGCCACACGAGGAAGCCGAGGCGACTCATCGAAGCAGAGGTGGGACTGGGTGTCATCGTGTGATCCACTGCCCCTACCATATCTACCGTAGTTATTCCACACACACACACACACACACACACACACACAAAAGAAATACACTCAATAATAATAATTTGAAATAGCGTTTTTCACGTCGGGAGGACGTCCCAAAGCGCTTCACAGAACACACTGTAAAGTGAATTGACTGTATATTTGTGGGCAAACGCGGCAGCCAATTGCGCACAGCAATGTCCCACAAACAGTCGTAGATTGAAAATGACCAATTTATTATTGTTTTTGGTTTTGGAGGGATTATTATCAGGCTCTGTGTGGAGTAAGGAAATTTGCCCAAGGTTTCGCCCTCTGCCTGGAATTAAATCCAGGTCTTTCGCTTGCAAAGCGAGTGCTCTAACCACTGAGCTACAGGACTCCACTTATTGCACTTCACGTAGAGCTGGTGAAAATGTTAGGAGGAAAAACAGGAGCGTCCATAGTTTCCCAACTCATTGTACATCAGTTATCTTTGAGATGACTTCCATGTGGAGGGTCATATTCTGGATCGAAAAGATCACTGCTAATAGATGACACCATGGCAGGTAGGTCTGAATTAATAATAAACTGAATTATTATTTTGCGGCATTTTTAACTTTAATTTTCCTCCACCACTGTGACGCGCTCCGGGACACTGCCCGGCATGAAGAGTGCGATGTAAATGCAAGTTGTTGGTGTTATACAAATGTAATCTTGTTGTTGTAATAATCGCTTTTTTTAAAAAAAAAAGATTTGCCCATGAGAATTGCTGTCACTCAGCTTTGATTCCAATTCTCTGGGTTTATTTGGGGTGATGTATCACATAACACATCACAGAACTATCACAGTAATTAATAAAATACTCCCTCGACCATATGGTCAAGGAAACTACATGGTGACCAAAACGTCGAGCTACTTTTACAATGTCTAATAAGTCTTAAAGAAATTATGATTTTTTTTAGATAATAGGTTAGCTGAAGAATAACACTTTTTAGTCACCCTGTACAAACTGGACTAAATCTGTAAGATAAAGACTAGATCGGCTATTGTACCATGTTAGGTACATTGCAACGTATTTAGTTCTTGGATACAAAAATTGTCATTTTACTCATTTCTGAAGCCGTAATTTATGCGCTGGAATAAGAAATCCATAAAAGTTTTGCAAAGACTTATATGTTCAAGGCAAAGGAGGAATTCAGTTCAGAAACAGCATGAATAAAATACTGTAGCATACAGTGCCATCCTTCCAAATCAACATTTCTCAAATGTGGCCCATCGTTTAACTCACTCCCACTGTAACTTTCTGGTACGTGGCTCAGAAACCGAACTGATCAGCAAGTGTTGAATAATCTTGATCGATAATCCTTGATGTGACAAATATTCATATTAAACTCAAAATTTCAGCTTGCCGTCTGTCTGATACCAATATACATTTTGCGATGTTGACCTTTCTCCGTGGGCGTGAGCCACTTGAAATGGGACCACATTCTTCTGTCTTGTATTCGAGTGTGGTTTGCGAGATATTCACAAAGTGCCTTATCCATTCCTACTCAGTGGGCCAGTATAATTAGACAAGGGACATTTTTTTTCACAAATGAGAAAGTAAAAACACTTTTATTGAAATAACTTAAACAAGCCACAACGCTTTGAAATGTGTGTTTCAACCTTTCAGGTCATTTCCTGCAAGTATTGTATGATTCCACTCTAGAAGTAACTTCTTACATCCTACACATTTTCCACCCAGCTATTCAATCGAGTATTAAATACATATACTGACCACCACAAGGGCTGCCTAATGTGTGTGGGAGGGCTGTGTGTTTTCCATCCGAGAAAGTCAAAGTGCATGCATTGTTTATTTAACTGTGGCATAAACAATGTCCCAGATTTAGGCAATTTTATTTTATTTGGTCCCAAAATATCATGAAATATCTACAGAATCTGTATTATGTAATCTCTCAGATAATGCAAGGATTATTATTGTGTCCTCTCATGTCTGTTGAGGATTTTATTGTTTTTCCAATTTAGGCATCTTTGGCAACACTGGAAAAAATGGATTCCTGTAAGTGATGAAAAATTAATAATCTCATCCAGGGATTCCGCTGGTATGATATTAGCCGCAATAGTACACAGCTGTTTAGATCAATCCAAGCTCTGCAATAAAGGCAATGAAGGTTTGAAGACCTGTTTGATGTAATCTCTCAGGTGAGATACCACAATGAGTTTTACATCCTTTGTTTACACAATTCTTTTTACACCTTGTTATCGAACAGTGAGGAAACTAGCTGAATTGGATTGACACTTAATAATAATAATCCTTGCGTTTGATGTAGCGCTTTTCACATTTTCTAGATGTCTCAAAGCACTTCACAGAATATACTGTAAAGTAAATTGACTGTATATTTGTGGGTGAAACACGGCAGCCAATTGCGCACAGCAGTGTCCCACAAACAGTCGTAGATTGAAGTGACCAATTTATTATTTTTTTTTCTTGAGGAATTATTATCAGGCGTGTGGAGTAAGGAAACTTGCCCAAGGTTTCGCCCTGCCGGGAATCGAACCCAGGTCTCTCGCTTGAGAGGCGAGTGCTCTAACCACTGAGCTACAGGACTCCACTTGATTGGATTATGGCGTGGTAATTTGTTCGAACAATTCTTTTGGCCCACTTGGAAACAAATGGTCAACCCAGAAGTTTCATAATATGGGAAGGCTGGTCAGATACCTCACCAGTGATTTGCAATGAATTATGATAAACATTCACTGTGGACAACAATGGTCAATGCTGCGAGTGACAAACGTGATTGACAGGAACAAAACTGATTGCAAACTCATTTACTTATATTTGTCTTATTTATTTGGAGCAACAGACATCAAATAGATTGTATTTTCAAAAACAGAATGAATGATTTTGAGAGAAGTGTTGATAAAATATTGGGTTGAAGGTGAAATGGGAGTTCACTCAATTCGGCCTCAAACATTATTTAGTGGGTAACATGGCATAGTCATAACATAATTTATTCCTAGCAGACATTCATCTTTACATTTCTCCTTGCATTTGATATAATCCTTGCATATGATACAGTGCCCTATCATATTCAGACATTGCAAAGCACTTCAAAGGATATACTGTAACTGCTTTGCAAATGCAACAGCCAATGTATGCAGATATATTCTACAAATAGCATTGGGGTGAATATATTTGTACAGCAAACACACACACAATTTGTTGATACTTGGAAGCAGTTGCTCTGATGGGCACCTGAAATAACTTAAAACTTTGAAATTAAGTTTTGTGGAGTCCTGTAGCTCAGTGGTTAGAGCACTCGCTTTGCAAGCGAGAGACCTGAGTTCAATTCCAGGCAGGGCGAAACCTTGGGCAAGTTTCCTTACTCCACACGCCTAATAATAATCCCTCCAAAACCCAAAACAATAATAAATGGTCATTTTCAATCTACGACTGTTTGTGGGACATTGCTGTGCGCAATTGGCTGCCGCGTTCGCCCACAAATATACAGTCAATTCACTTTACAGTATATTCTGTGAAGCGCTTTGGGACGTCCTCCCGACGTGAAAAGCGCTATATCAAATGCAAGGATTATTATTATTATTATTATTAAGGTTTATTGTGAAAAGAGTATTTTATGCAAAGCGGTGTTACCTACTGTGGAGTGGTCTAATTTGAAGGTCACAAGCAGTTATGCAGTACGAGTGGGCGTGTTTGCAATTCAGTGGGTGGTTTTCTTATTTATTTTCACGTGTGGCAATTGACAAATTTGTTGCTCCTGTCAAGTTAGATGCAAAAGCTTCTTCCAGAGCTCTCAACTTCCATTGCTTCCTCTCCTGGCTGGACTGCCTGAAGTATCTTTCCTCCAGCTTCCACTCTGAAATGCTCCATCCAAAGTGCAACTGCAAAATACATACTGTGTGTGGTATGTTGGGGGGAGGGGAGAGGGGACAGTTAGTGTTTGTCATTATATGAGCACGAATTGTGAAGAACCCTTTATTTTTGCACATGCGTGGGTGTTTTTATTTTACCATGATGGGTGTCAATCATACTTATTTTCTCCTGAGACATCACTAGCTGTGTTTGGTGGCCCAAGTAGATGGGAGATTTGCTTTTTGTTAACTTGTAAACTTTTGTAAATTTTGTGAACCTTAATCTCAACAACAACAACAACAACAAGATTCCATTTATAAAACGCCTTTCACGTCAGGAGGACGTCCTGATCAACTTTTTCCATCCTTTCTTCATAATTTAGGCCCTTGACACCATTCTAGTAAATGAACGCTGAATGCTAAGTCCTGTTTAAAACCAAGTTGTTGTTGTTGTATCATAGTATACGATATCTAGCACTTCATTCTGCCTTACAGATATGTAGTGCAGAAATCCAAATCCTGGTATTTCTTATGTGCCACTTGTTTCATTCACTGAGTTATGACTTAATAAACTGATTTCTTTTGAAATGGAAAATTGAACAGCAAAGCATTTATAAATGTTAAAATTAATGATTATTGTCAGCTTTATTTGCATTGGCTGCCAGAGCAGTCTAACACTGGATGCTATAATAATAATCATCATCATCCTTGCATTTGATATGGCACTTTATCACGTCTTCTAGACGTCTCAAAGCGCTTCGTATAGTAATAGAAACACAAAGTAAAACCTATTCTCACATTTTATTAGCGCCATAACCGAGTAGGATTAAAATGCGGCTAGTGTCGGATTTTTAAGACACTGAAGTAGATGATTATGATCCTGGATTGATTTTAATTTTTAGTTGATTTTAATTTTAAGTGCACCTCTTCACGTGTACCTCTAGGGTGCACTGTTCGATGTAAATCAACAAGGTCTGTACATATTGTGACAGTAGGTTGGTGCCTATTTATACAAAGAGCAGGATTTAAAACTTTTGAGTAAGAGAAGTGACGTTTATTCCCTTTAATTGAGACGAAGCCAATTCAAACATTTCATCCCATAACTATCCAGAACTATTCCAGTACTGAAGCTTAAATTTGGTTTTAAACCTCTTCCCCTCTTAATCACTTAAAGCCCTGACCTGTGAGTGTTGAAAAGCACATTGGAAGCTTGTGAGTATAAATTAAAATCCATATTACTCAATTATTGCAAGGATTATATATAAAAAAAACTGTGTTTCCATTTGAAATGTGTGCATTTAGCAGGAAACGTGTCAAGACATTTCATTTAAGACCAGCACAAAACACACTTCCAGATGTTTAAAGTGATAAAAAGTAATAATGTCACTCTGATATGAAGAATGCTCTTTGATGAGTAATTGCTCTTTTTCAGTCAAAATGAAGTGGTTTGTCTGTATCTGGCTGTGTGTGTTTCTCACCTTGAACATACTGACTGGTAAGTTTAATAAACGTAATATCTCTCATTTTTTTTATTCAGAACTTTTCAGAATGTCAAATGTCGTAATTATCATTTGTAAATCTGTTTGACCATTGTTCGACTCTGTTGGAGATTTTTATGTATTTATTTTTTGTTTATTTCTCCAAATGACTCTTAAATGAAGTGTTGGCAGTGCTGAAGAGCAGTGTTTAATTTCAGGCTGTGAACAGCCCTTTTGTGAATTCATTCAGCCACAAATTCTAATCATCTGCCTCTTCATTTATTTGCAGAAGCCAGGGTGATCCAAGAATCAGACGGTAAACCAATTTTATTTCACATTCTTGCATTAATTAGCTCAGAACTGGACCTGTTTTGTGAAAAAGAAAATGAAATTTTATTCTGACATTCTTCCCCATTGTTTAATCCTATTTTCTCTGGCTGCCAATATCCCCAGAATAACTCTTATCATTTTGAAATCGTTCACTATCGTGCATTTATTTAAATTCAAACAATTGTAAATTAATGGAAGGTGTTTGCCTTCCAAAAAGAAACGAGAATTTCCTTGTGTTAGAAGGGAAAATAAATCATTTAAATCCCAGAAGCTGCAGCACAGAATCCACTGAATACAAATGGGTGTCTGTGTGGGCAAACCTTAATGTTGTCCTAATGGAAAAGGAGGTCTCAGGGGTTCCAGCAGTAAAATACTGGTTGCAAACACATTTCAAATACATTTTCCACAGGAACGTTTCTTACACTGATTTGTTTGCACGATGGGGAGCTAAACATCATGCAATTAAGCTATTTAATTGTCACATGCTATTAAAGTCGGGGTTTCTTTTCAATATCCATTTTCTTTTTTTGCAACAATAAGTACCTGAGCCACAAGACTGAGGTTCTGAATTGTAATGTTAGTAAGAGCTAATGGGATTATATATCAGTAGTATGCACATTAATACACACATGTATACCTCCAATAGTATATTTGTGTTGTTGTGTGGATCAGCATTCTTGTACAATAATTATATTAATGTACCCACAATGTATAGAGAAGGGGGGGTCAGTAAACCTGTATTTATGTTTGTTATTCACTGGTTGTGTAGGGGGTCGCCTTTACCCTATATGGTGTTTGTATTGATGCACTCGCATTAAATAACTGTTGAGAGCCACTGATTTCCCTCTCACAGAGACTGTCCAGTCAGGAGCAATAACACTGTGGATGTTTGTTCTTTTAGTTGAACGTGTGCAAAAGCGAAGCCTTCCCTACTGGAATTATTCTGCCAACGATTTCTGGCATTACGTGGAGTATTTCCGAAGCATTGGAGCCTACGACAGAATCCAGGAGATGGCACACACTTTCTACGCCCACTTCCCCATCGAGGAAACCCTGGGCTACGAGGCTCCAGACCCTCCCCAAACCCCGGAAAAACCCGTGAAAAAACCAGGGAAGAAGCCGGAGGAAAAAAAGCCGGTGGAGGAAAAGCCGGTGGAGGAAAAGCCGGTGGAAAATGAGTAGGGGTGGGGTGGGAAAAAAAAACAAGACTTCCCCCCCCAAACAGAAAAGAATAGCCAATTACGCAAAGGAAAGTTACATCGACTCAACCCGTTAACGAGTAGAAATACAATAAATTGCATCGGTAAAGGAATTGTAGATCTCTGTCCCGTTTTGCTTCCCTGTCGCCTTTGTGTAGCAACATTATTTTATCAGTCGCCGCGCGCGTTCAATGATCAAATAAGTCTGTTTTTGAATGTCTGAAAAGAGTTTGAAATGAAAGAAAAAAAAGATGTTTTCGCAACGCTTGTAATTTACCAAATAGTATTTTAAGGATCGGTTTCGATTAACCAAATATTGGCTCAGCAGATTTGTAATTTAATGTTCTTTTCCCTCCATCCCTCCCTCCCTCCTTCCCTCCCTCCCCAGAAAAAAATATTAAAAACACTACAGCATTTTTGTCTTCAATTGGTAATTCGAATTTGCCCTATTTCTTGCTTAAATCGTTATGTGAAAAAATTATTCTGAATTATTCTGAACGAAATCAGAGTTGCTGTATTTAAACAGAGCGACTTTAATAATGAATGCATTCAAGAGCAAAACAAAAGGCACACTTTGTAATACGTGGCATGTGGCGAGCAAACGGGGTAATATGAGCAGTCAACCTTAGAATGAATAGAGCAGGTTATGTTCACAGAATATAGCTCCTCAGGGTGCGAGGCATTTAACTGAAATCAAATATAAGTCCACTTAACCCATTGCAATGCATCCACCACCACCTAACTGCAATCACTAAACAACTTTTTAGTGGGGCAGGATCATTGCTCTTAATAAAAATTCAAATCTCCAGGAGTCCTTTCTCTCATCAGTCCCCAATAGCTGTAAATTCCTGGTAAAACCACACAATGGCGCTATTGATGGTGAAGTTTCCCCCAAACCCAAGAAAAACACAGCCCATACTGTCAGCAGGTTTGGTATGTGTGTGATTCCCTTTCCATTGGCTCTTGGTACACTCCCAGTGTTTTACCCTTCAGTGATCTGTTATAGCAAAATCCCATTGCGCTGCGTGGTAATAAACAAATGGACTTCACATTGAGTTTTGCTTTAGATGTAGTTCATTTAAAGAAACAAACTTTTGAAATTACTCAAAGGTGAAATCTGACTGACAGAAGTTTGGTAATATTTACCAAAAAATAAAGTTTAAAAACTGTCCTTTCAACCCCGGTGCTTTCTTAGGATTGTCAACATTTTGTTTTAGAAACCAAATAAATAATTATAGTAACAATAAAAAAAATTGTTGGTATTTCAAACATACATCGAAACGGTAAACAATAACCGTTTCCAAATGTATTCATTTCAGAAGCATTCACATTATTTGTTGCATAGACTTTAAGGCACGTTTTAAACATGTTTGTGATACAGTGCTTTCCCATCCAATATATCTATGGTTTCAGATTTAAAAATAATTATTATAAAAATGCACTTATAATAGTTTTTATTATAAAAACGAGTGCACTTGGACATCTTTAATAATAATAATCCTTGCATTTCTTATAGCACTTTTCACATCTTCTCGACGTCTCAAAGCGCTTCACAGAATATACTGTAAAGTGAGTTGACTGTATATTTGTGGGCGAAACGCGGCAGCCAATTGCACACAGCAGTGTCCCACAAACAATCGTGGATTGGAGTGACCAATTTTATTGTTTTTTTTCTTGAGGGATTATTATCAGGCATGTGGAATAAGGAAACTTGTACAAGGTTTTGCACTGCTGGGAA